GTCTGCACCGATGGCGCACCTTCTATAGAGAGGCAGAAAAGAAAGATATTTTACATAGAATATTTAGAAATCCATGTCTTCTCCTATCCGATGAAAATATTTACGAACCTATAAATTCAGATCCTACCGACCTTATAAATGGAAATACTTTAATATTCATTGATTCACTCCTAGAAAGCAAGCAAATTCCCAAAACACTCTCTCTATACAATTAAAAACCTATAATCCTATTGCCCCAAAAGTTTTATTGTTTCCCCAAAATCCATAAAGATGGTTTTCCTCTTCGACCAAAACTTGCAATATATTTATACAACTATTTGACCATGTTTATATTATTGAACTATTGAACTTCTATGTTATGTACATTATAACAAATAAAAATAAATATTTTTTAATAAAAATCTGTTAAATATTTAATATTTTAATTTTTCAGCGTCCCATTGCATAGGGTTATATACCATAACAAAAAATAAATATCTTTTAATAAAATGTGTGTTATATATTTAATATTTTGATTTTCAGCACCCCAAAGTAAAATTAAGTTTGTATCTCATGTGGTACAATTGCGATTGGTGAGACAGTCGAGCGTGGGCCACCGGTGATACACGCCGCCCGATAGGACATGTGGTACACCGGTGGTACGCACCGACGTGAACGTGTTAAAAGGTTTTCGAGAAAATACTAGTAAAGCGTATCTACGAAAAGTATAGAGAAATGAGTATGTGCAACGCACGACAGTTTGGCTTCAAGGCAGGCGCCTCCACGGAAGACGCACTGCTAACTTTTAGAAAACCTTCGATAACTATGGTAGCCCGTCATCATACATAAGCTGACGCAGGCCAAATTCAGCAGCCTCATGGTGAATATAGTTAAGGACTACTAAAAAGAATAACGCCTATGCAACAGGCAACACCAAAATGGTTAAGAGGAACCATGCACAAGGGATGTCAACAGAAATAAAAATTTTTGACATGTTGCATAGAACTTCTGCATGAACGCTCTTCTAAAGAGCCTAACTCAGGTGGAAGAAAATGTAAAACCTGTTGCATAAGCAGATGACTTGGCGCTTGTGATCGAAGGAAACTCCAGAGATGACTTGGAAAGAACTGTGTTAAATAATAAGGCATGCCGTACTACGGCAAACAATGCACTCCAAGCAATAAACGGCAAAATGCCACTTGACTTAGAAGTCATATAGTGAGGAATCTAAAGGAATCACATTTACATGTAGAAAAATAATCTTGAATATCCATGCCTTCGACATAAACTCACCGCTTACTTTCCTGGCTCGGAATTACCTACTGTTCCAAGACAACATTTTCTCTCATGTTAAAAAAAAAAACAAATTGAGAACGCAAATTACAGATGCACATTAAGAGGATTAATTAAAGCTGGGTGTAACGATTTAAACATTTTATGAAACCCTTATTGAGGCAGAAGACAAAACGTATATCCAAAACGGCCTATAAAAATTGGTTTGCATTGCTTTTCATTGAAACCTTAAAGTTTTTTTTATCATAAACATAACCTGAAATATATATTTTATTTATCTACGTGCACGTGGATGTTACTTATTCGACTAAAGTAATAACATATTGGACTAAAGTTTATATGAGACAAGCAACGACATAAAAAGTCAAACTTCGCTTTCGACATGCAGTATCGTGTATAGGCAAAAATAAATATTATGTGAAGTTACATTTGTTAATTATATTAATAAAGGGGAAAAAATTGTATGTACTGTTGATTAGTATTTGTGTGTTGGTAGTTTTCCACTTATAAATAGTGGTAAAAAAAGAAAATACCATCGTATCGTACGCGTTACATTGTATTGCTCATTGAATATTTAAAATTCGTTAAATGTAATTTATTGCATCCGTTATTATCTTCCAACTATCAATTGTGGAGTGATTAAAGAAAACCTGTTGTGGGTGCTTTGCCCCCTCGTTATATTCCTAGAAGACTTGAGGAAACGAGGACAAGAGCAAGGATAATTAGACAGGAGAGACAAAGGAAACCAGACAAGCCTGAAGACTTTGTATGCCAACATAAAACCAAATCCGGTATCTTCATACAGACCTATATCTTTGGCTTTCGACCTATATCTTCTTCTTTCTTCAAAAGTCAAATATAAAATGATTAAAAAAAGATTGGAATGGTGTTTAGAAAAATGTGAAATACTCCCCAAATCTTAGTATGAATTTAGAAAGGGAATGGAAACCTGCGCTAACTTAGAACCTATATATTTATCATTAGCTAAAAACAATTATGTCTTCGCTTTTTTCAGCGATATCAAAGGCGCATATGATAGTGTATTACCAGAAGTGTTGGTAATCAACTTTACTAATATCAGACTACCAGAAAATTTCATAAACTATTACTGCTAATGTACGAGAGTAAGAGGTATTTCCTCGAATAAATGAAAGCATGATAGGACCGACAAAGGTCTACCACATTCCATTACGTAAAAAATATATAAAATACATGGGAAACATACTCTAAAACTCTACAACTCGCAAATGGCGTAGTGATATAAACCCTTAGGAAGCCTATGATCGTGATGAGTCACAACATTGATCACTTTCACGATTGGCTCAATAAGAAAAGACTCGAGTTGTCGGGTGATAAGAGCTTAATAGAGATCTTCACAAGACACAGAAAGATAGAGATACCAAACAATACTAACTACTAAATACCATAGAATTAAAGTTAAAAAAAACAATAAATTTCTCGGTGTCATATTCGTCTAAAAATTATCCTTCAGAATACACATGGACCAAGGACATCAAAAGAAATATCAGTTTGGAATAAATATATAATTATTCTAATTAAAAAGAAGAATCCTCAAGATACAAATTCATAAGCTAAACCAATAACTTTAAGTACATGTATTGCGAGGATGATTAAAACTAGAATTGAGTGGTGGACAGAGAAAATAAATTATTTCCCAAAAGTCAGTTTGGTTTTAGAAGAGGTCAAGGACAAGACGATTTGGGTATTTATTTTTAAAGGAACAGTTACATCGTTGCTTTTTTTGTGATATCAAACGGGCTTGTTATCATGTGCCACAAAATTTGACAGAAAGCTTATTTAATCACTGGTTTTTCAAAAAAATTAATCAATTATATAGTTTATTAAACTTTTCATAGATAAATTGAAGTGAAACTAGATGAAAATGTAAGAGTAAACAGAGTTCTACCCAAGGTTTACTACATCAATGGGCTATTCTTTCTTAGCCCCTTATTGTAAGGCCTATATGTGAGATATATAGTTGGAGGGTACCAAGATCTTACCATATGCAGCCGATTCAGTAATTTATATTAAAAAAGGCGATTTAAATGAAGCCATTAATGTGGTCTCTATCAATATGGAATTATTACATATCTGGCAAAAAGGTCTAGAACAGCGGCCAGGAATCTTTTTTAATCATCACCTCAAAATATTTCTGTTTCAGTTGATATTACCCCCATACGGACAACCACGAAGCAAAAACAGTGAATATCAATAGAAAATACATTGTTTTTGCCCCCAAAAAATCAATTTTTACCAAATTTGGAATAATTTACCCCGTTTTCCCGACCACTAGTCTAGAACTATTAGAGGATAAAAGTTCGATAAGAAATTTTACAAGACATTCCAACAAAAAAAAATCCGACAATTTCATATTAGTGGCGTCTACAGAAAAAGGTTTGCAAACCTTGCTAGATACAACTAATCGTTTACAATAGCAATAAGAAATATACCACATGCAAAAAAGTTCATAGTTGACAAGAACTTAATTAAATTTAAGTCTGGCGGTCATGAATTAGCCACAATAACATATGAAATCCTAGGGATTTCGTTTACACCCAAAAGAGCAAATTTGCACGACCTTAGGCCGAAACTGCAGACCAAAGCACCTCTTCAGCCGCAACAAAAACTCTTCGCGCTAAAAACTGCAGGCATCCCCAAGTTACTCCACGAGCTAACACTGAGGAACACCACATTAAGCATGCTATGTAAGATCGTGGCTGAGACTGCCCATGACTTTACCACCGCTCCAATTATAACTAGCTGTAAGTGGAATTCTGTCTTAAGGCAATTAAGGCATCGTGCCTTAAGGCAAATTGCTGGAACTTCCCGTACCAAAAATTATTATTTTTCTAAAAACGATTAACATTTTTGAAAAAAAAAATTACTTTCAAAAAATAAGATTTTTGAGAAACTATAAATTGGACAAAAAATTACTTTTTTTGAAAAAAATTTTTTTTTAAAAAAATATTTTTTTTTTTTTTTTTGAAATAAATTTTTTTTCTTTATTTTGACATATTGTGGAAGATCTGAACTTTCTTTTCAAAGCAATCGTACTGCTTTAACTGCATAGGGACAAAATATAAAGCGCGTAAGCCCCGCGTCAATGTCTAATGCATAAGCATTGGTACGGAACCCATAGTTAAAAAAATGTATACTTATTGTTAAAATCTCTATAAAACATCTGATAATTTGATGTGCATATGTCTAATGATCATTTTTGACCGCCAAATGGCTCATTTTTTTACTTTTTCCTCCATATCTCCGAAACCGCTAGACCTACCTTCATGAAAATTTTATCGTTTCTTCATCTTGTCAATACAAGTGAAATTATTCAAATCGGACGCTCCGTTCTCTTAAAAACTGAGTTACCGTTTTCGGCACTTTTTGCCCCGTATCTTCGGAACGGCTAGACCTGCCTTCGCCAAAAACTAATCAGCACGTCTCCTTATCAATACGAATCGAATGTTTTTTGAATTATTCAAATCGGTTGATCCGTGATCCCGAAATCGTCGACGAAAATTTGTATCCGCACATACATACACACACATACATACATACACATACATACATACATACTGGTTCAACCAGCTGAAGGACGAACGTACGCTGACATCCTTAAGGAGATCAAGGAAAAAGTAAACCCGACAGAGACTGGCGTGGATATAAAGTCCATCAAACAGACAAGAAATGGAGGTGTATTACTGGAAATGAGTCCCAAGTCCGAAGATAGTGCAGCCTTTGCAGCTGCGGTAAGGGCAGCAACTAAAAACATAGGAACAGTGAAATCACTGACGCCGCTGACGACGATAGAGATTCTTGACCTTGATGGTGTCTCTACCAAAAATGACGTTTGCAAAGCACTCATTCGGGACTTTACGACAAAACTGGAAATACGACGAGTGAACTTGACCAAAGTCACATCAAGAGGACAACGAGCGGCCTTCTGTGAGATAGACGAAGCTAATGCAATCAAAGCCCTAAATGGGGCCCGCATAAGAATTGGGTGGGTTAACTGTCGCATTCGCCCAGTTGTTAAAGTAGCCCGCTGCTTTAGATGCCTCGGTTTCGGACACCAAACGCATAAATGCGGGGGACCAGACAGAAGCAAGTGTTGCTACAAATGCGGCGGGGAAAATCACAAGTCTGTAGACTGCGCAGAAAAGCCAAAATGCTTTCTATGTACAGTAGACAAAGAAGATCGAAACAGCGGGAGCCATGTCGCCGGATCCGGTACCTGTAAAGCATTCCGTGTAGCACTTGCCGAAGCCACGAGAGAACAGAAATGACGCGATTTCTACAAGGTAATCTGAACAGATGTGCCTTGGCGCAGAATCTACTGCGCCAACGAATCTTTGAAGATAAGATTGATATCTGCCTTATCTGCGAGCAATATATGAATATTCAGAATAAAGCATGGTTCGCAGATAAATCTGGCACGGCAGCAATATGGATCACAAACTCAAAGAAGATCACCATCAACGACAACGGAAGCGGCGAGGGTTTCGTCTGGATCAAGACTCCCACGACCTACTGTGTAAGCGTCTACCTCTCACCAAATGAAGGGATTAGCGTATTTCGCCAGAAAATGGCAAGCATAGAAGACACTCTCGGCAAATTTGACGGAGAAGTCATTGTAGCTGGTGATTTCAACGCGAAATCGGCAGAATGGGGGGCCGAATACTCGGACACTAGAGGAAATGACGTGGCAGACTTTGCTGCAAGATTAGACCTTACTGTGTTAAATACTGGAAGTATTACAACCTTTAGAAGACCAGGGTATCAGGAATCTATTCTCGACATTACGTTTGCCACTCCAAGGACGGCAAACATGATTGGAGACTGGACTGTATCTGAAGAGTATAGTGGCAGTGATCACCAACATGTGACATTTAGTATTGGATTCGGTCCGACTCGACCAAGCAACTTTTGCAAACGAAGGTGGAATGCCAAGAAGCTTGACCAAGAAGCGTTGCGAGCAGCCCTCGAGCAAAACGCATCTACTCTCCAAGCTGATCCAAAACTAAGTACCCGCAGAGAAACGGAAGAAACGGTTCTTAAAACTATAAACGCTATTGTCACCTCATGTAACGCCTCTATGCCACAACCATAAAATCAGCGTGTGCACAGTCCAGCATATTGGTGGTCATCAGAGATAGCAGAACTACGGAAAAGATGCCACGCATTACGTCGCCGAGTCACAAGAGCTGCAAAACGCTCCCCCTACCAAGATTTGTATACAAACGAGTACAAACAGGCAAAAAAAGCCTAAATAAAGCCATAAAAGCAGCTAAAGCCGGATTGTGGAAGGAAATCTGCAATGACCTTGACAAGGATCTCTGGGGCAAAGCCTATCAAATCGTTACAAAACGACTTGGTAGAGCTTTACCAGAAGCACCGAAATCTCCTGCTCTGATGAATTCTATCGTAGCGGAACTATTCCCTAAACATCCGCCACGGAAAAGGAGACAATACATGGAAAACAGTGGAAGTACGCCCTTCACTGTCAAGGAACTCCAAGATGCGGCGAAAACCATAAAAACTGGCAAAGCACCAGGCCCTGATGGCATCCCAGCCTCAGTGATCAAGATTGTAGCCTTGGAATTTCCGTATATTCTTCTGAACGCCTACAATGCCTGTCTGGCGACCGGCACCTTTCCTACGGTCTGGGAGCGGCAAAGATTGGTCCTAATAGACAAACGTAAGGGAACCCCTGTAACGCCATCGTCGTTTCGACCACTCTGCATGTTAGACATCGCCGGAAAACTGCTTGAGAAACTTATTCAATGCAGATTGCGCAACGACATTGAATGCGTCGGAGGTTTTGCTAAGAACCAACACGGATTTCAAAAAGGACGATCGACGATCGGCGCGATTAGGGAGGTAACGGAAACAGCAAGAGAAGCATGGCGTGGTAGTCTTAAAGCTCGTAAAGTGTGTCTCCTTCTCACATTCGACGTTAAAAACGCGTTTAACAGTGCGAATTGGGAGGATATTTTACACGCCCTAGAGCATAATTTTGACGTAAAGCCAGAAAATCTAGGATTAATAGACGACTACCTCGATGGGAGAAAGTTGATAGTGGAAACGACGGAAGGTCATCAAAAACACGAGGTTACAGCTGGGGTACCTCAAGGCTCAATCTTAGGAGCCGATTTGTGAAACGCTGTCTACGACGAGCTCCTGGAGATTCCCTTGCCGAAGTAGGTGGAACTCACGGGCTTTGCGGACGACGTCGCAGCCACAATCGTAGTGGACAGCATTGAGGAGGCTGAACTACTCGTTCGAGAGACCGTCGACACCATAGAGACCTGGCTTGAGAAACACCACCTAAAACTCGCCAAACAAAAAACGGAGATGGTTGTCTTGACCCGACAAAAATGGTTTCCAAAACCATTCACCGTAGACGTGGGAGAGACAACTTTGACGTCGACAAGGGCCTTGCGCTACCTGGGAGTAATGATAGATGAGAAGCTATCCTTTCGTGAACATCTCGATAGTGCATGCATAAAAGCTAGCAAGACAGTATCCAACCTGTCAAGGATTATGGCTAACTGCATGGGACCACGAACCCGAAAGCGACGAGTCTTGCTTGAGGTAGTCCATTCTGTACTGCTATACGGAGCGGAAATATGGGCAGATATCCTCAAGCAAAAGACTTATCGGCGCAAAATTTCGGCAGTGGAAGGAATATCGCAACAACGCCGAGCACATTATAGGCACCAGGCTCACCCCCTCAAGTCTTGTGACCTATATGATGAAACAAGAAGAAAACTGGTCAGCTGTAGCAGCTTATGCACAGCATCTTTTGAAGGCTAAAACCGGAGAAAGGGACCAGTAGTCGAAAACAGGCGTCGCAAGGCGCAGCACGGACTGGATTGATGTAATGCTAAGAGAGGAGTGTTTTTTTTAGTGGGTAAAAATCTCCACACTGCCGTCCGTCGTTGTCTGCTGTAGGATGGACAGTGGAGTATCAACGATGGCGGTGTCTTATGAAGATTTTTTTTCGCACCTCTATAAAAAAAAAAAACATACATACATACACACATACATACATACATACACACAGACGGACGGATGGGTGAATTGTCGCATTCGATTAGTGGCAAGAGTACCTCGGTGCTTCAAATGTCTCGGATTTGGACACCAGTCTCGCTACTGTAAAGGACCAGATCGGAGCAAATGCTGCTATAAGTGCGGTGGCGAGAACCACAAATCAGCAGACTGCACGGAACAACCAAAATGCTTTCTGTGCACTTCAAATGGAAAAGACAAAGATAGCGTGTGCCATATCTCCGGTTCGGGTGCATGTAATGTATGCAGAGCCGCCCTAGCGGAAGCGACGAAAGCGCAGAAATGACACGAATACTTCAGAAAACTTGAATAGATGTTCGCTTGCGCAGAACCTACTTTACCAGCGCGTACCAGAGCGCCCTTGTTAAATCATGGTACGTGGATAAGACGAGTACAGCAGCTATCTGGTTAGTGACTCGAAAGATTACTCCCGTAGATACCGGATCTGGGGATGGTTATGTCTGTATAAAAACCCCTGAAATGTATATCATGAGCGTATATTTATCTCCCAACGAAGGAATCAGCGTGTTCCGCCAGAAGCTGACCAGCATCGAGAACACCATCTGTGGATTTAATGGCGAAGTCTTAATAGCTGGAGACTTCAATGCTAAGTCTGCGGAATGGGGCGCAGATTTTTCAGACACCAAAGGAAACGAAGTTACGGACATGGCAGCGAGGCTCGATCTTACAGTCCTGAATACTGGAGTGACGTCGACATTTAGAAGACCTGGTTATCGAGAGTCAATTCTCGATATTACTCTGGCGACTCCAAAAACTGCCAGCAGAATCCAGGACTGGAAGGTCTCCGAGGAATACACTGGAAGTGATCATCAATCCATCATCTACTGGATAGAAGAGACTACCCACCACGTACACCGAGATTACGAAAGATGCAGCTGGAATACCAGGAAGTTGGACATTGATGCTCTACGAGAATCCCTCACGCGGGGGTGGGTGACACTCGAATCACATCCGTTCCCAACTAACAGCAGCGAGACGGAAAACATTGTAACAAAAACGATGAAGATTATAACCGCAGCATGCAATGCTTCTATGCCACGTCGTAAAACACAGGACTTGCGCCGGCCAGCATATTGGTGAACATGCGAAATCGCAGAGCTGAGGAAAAAATGTCACCAACTCCGACGACGAGCAACAAGAGCTGCTAAGCACTCCCCAGCTCAGACCTACTACTCCAATGAGTACAAGGCGGCCAAGAAGGAGCTCAATAGAGCCATCAAGTCCAGTAAAGGCAAGCTGTGGGCAGAAATTTGCAACGACCTCAATAACGATGTCTGGGGCAAAGCCTACCATATAGTTGCAAAAGGATTGGGTAGAACCTTACCAGAGCCGCTAAAAAGCCCGGCTATGATGAACCAGATCGTTACCGAGCTCTTCCCAAACCACCCAGCGCGGAAGAAGAGTCGCTACAAGAACACCACCAATGTGTTGCAGTTCACTGTTTCGGAACTGCAAACCGCAGCAAAAACCCTGAAACTAGGGAAAGCACCCGGCCCTGACGGTATTCCAACACAAGTGATTAAGCTCATTGCACAGGAATTTTACATCCTGTTGAATGCTTACAATGCATGCCTTGTGACCGGAACGTTCCCTTCTGTCTGGAAACGACAAAGACTCGTCCTTCTCGACAAAGGAAAGGGACCTCCGATAACAGCTTCATCATACAGACCACTGTGTATGCTGGATATAACTGGGAAGCTGCTTGAAAAACTTATCAAAGCCAGACTTCGAAAAGATGTTGAATCCTCCGGAGGTTTCTCCTCAAGCCAGTACGGCTTCCGGAAAGGGCAATCAACCATCGATGCAATCAGAGAAGTTGTAGAAACCGCAACAAAGTCGTGGGCTGTCAGCCTAAAGTCTAGGAAAGTTTGTATACTTCTCACGTTGGACGTGAAGAATGCTTTCAACAGCGCATCGTGGAAGGATATACTGGAGGCGCTGGAGAAGAGATTCCGGGTGAAAGATGACATCTTGACAATGGTGGACAGCTACCTGGACGATCGAGTACTCATCGTTGAAACCACTGAGGGAACAGTGAGCCGCAAGATAACAGCTGGTGCACCACAGGCTTCGGTTATGGGACCTGATCTGTGGAACGCTGACTATGACGAGCTGTTCGAAATTCCCTTACCCCCGCAGGTGCATCTCACAGGGTTTGCGGATGATGTCGCAGCTACTATTGTGGCAGACAGCG